TCCGTGAGTGTGTAAATGACATGACTATTTCGTTGTCGAGAAGACAACACACCAAATATGAATCAGCGTTATGCAATTTCAAGCTCAGCTCTCAACGTGAATCAGTATGTCGACAGGAAAAGTAGTCGAGACATTGAACAGGAAGTACAAGTACTGTGTCACAGAGACCTCAATGTGCCAACATATTTTGATGTTGTTATTGAATGTGAATGGTTCACTTGGAAGTTGATGTCTGTTTTGGTGAAATCACAATCATATGTACCATCAGATGGCACATTATTCTCCATGAATATTTCTGCCTGTGTTATTTCTAACATCCACATGCTTTTACTTTGGCTCCAACAAACATGTAAATTAAAAGAATTTTAGTATGTGTGGCCACGAATATTGCGATTCTGACGTGAAATTATTAGATTGAGGGGATAGGTGAGAATCTAAGTGACAGTCATGCGAAATTGTAGAATGTGAGTGTCTTCCAAGGAAACATAAAATGGGAAGTGTTTGCTTATTTGTGGAAGCATTGAAACGAGAGACGAACATCTGAATGAAATCAAGGATGCCTACGGAGTACTACAGAAGCTGATGTTCCTATTTTTCGCGCGGACATGTATGTGTCCGTTGGAACTTTGTTCTCGCTGAGGAAAGGACTGCATTCTGAATGAACTTCTCCATCCATAGTATAGTGTGGATTACAATCAGAACTCTGTCGATATCTAGACAAGCTTAGTTTGTCATCCCATGCGTTCTACACACTGATTAGTTTGGATGCATAATCTGAATGCAGCCAAAGGATATACCATCATACAATTGCGCAGTACAGGTCGTTCATCAAAGCTGAAATCATCGAATTGCTGAACTAACCTCGGATGGGCTAGTAAGTATACGAAACAACTGAATAAATAACACTTCATTTAAGTGAACGCAGTTGTGAGATCAGGAGCTGTCACTTGTTCAGATAGGAAATGATCCTGACTCTAGCGCTGCTGACGGAAAACCGGTGGCTGCAGCAGATACTATGTCTGCCGACCGACTCTAATGTATCAGAAAACAGCTTGACGACTCGAGGATTGTTTGTTTCTTCGCTGACAATGAGTCAGAACTGCATAGTAGGCCAGTACAAAGTCTATGAATATACATCAGCATAGATCGCAAGAAGAAGTCTGATCATTTTTCTTCAGTCGTCTTACAAACAGCCTACGCCGAGGGCACAGCCGTTATTTTAACTCACATGTGAATGGTGGATCTGTTCCAATCAACGAACCATATGTTGCTCATTCATTATTCAACAACAGTGACATAGGCGATTACACGAATTCTCAACTTCGTCACATTCCGTCAGCGTATCTGACTTGAACAGACAAATTTGGCGTATCTATATATCCTGGGAAGACATTATTTGTGAAAATAAGTACAAATAGCTGAACGACGCGTCTCTTTGTATCGGATTAGATCGCCTATCTGTATAGATACAATAATGAATCGGCGTTCAATATTTGGATGTGCGTATATAAGGCTTCTCAAACAAGAATGAAAATTAGTTTTGCTTGTTGTACACTTCATCAAAATGTTTCGAAAATTGTAATAAATAGGCAGAATCGTAACTTTGTAGCCTGTGGTATACGAGAGTTCATTCAGAGTTATCTACAAAGTCAAGTAGGAACCAGACAACTCAATCGATCATGCAAATTTTCAAACTGTGAATCGATTTCGAAGTCTCAAATATTAACAGCAGACCTAGAAGAATCGATAAACTTGATTTGGCGAATTATGCAGACATCAGATAATATATTTGAAGACGATAACTGGAGTTCAAGTAATCCACATAACTTCTCATTGAAATTGTCAATGTTAGAATCCACAAGGCGACAAAAATTTGAAAGTTTGTTTGATGTTTTGATGATCGAGGGGAACTACGCAACAGACCCGATTCGCTCATTCTGAAACCTGACACAGGATCTGGTTTGATTGTAATGGACGTAATTGATTATAAAACAAAAATGTTATCCATCCCTAATGACAAAATCAAATTCATAGCCGATGTCCTTTCTGATGATATCAGAAATTTGGAGGGACAAGCAATTTCTCACTCAGCATAACTTCGTCGCATAGATGTTATCGATAGACAGGAGTTCACTTCCTCGAAACCCATGTGATGTCACTTTCCAAACATTTATGGATTACCAATGATTCATAATGTTGATAATCCATTACGTCCAATTCTATCAATGTGTCACTGTCCCACACATGAATTAGCGAAGTGGTTAGCTGGTGCTCCGAGTCCAGTACGCAATGAATTATGTAAGTTTACTTTGGGAGATACATTCGAACATGCTGACTGTCCCCTGGACTTGAAAATGAAAGGTAGGAAAATGTACTCTAATGATGTTAAATCTTTGTTTACTAATGTACCATTGATTAAGACCATTGATGTTCTTTGTGACTATATATCTTCTAGATGTTTTTCAATTCCCTTTCCTTTAATTTATTTGAAGGATTTATTTCTATTATCTACTGACAACGTCCGTTCTACGTTTGCAGGTGAACATTTTCGACAAGTGGATAATGCTGCTATGGGCAGTCCATTGGTACCTTTGTTGGTGGACGTTTAAATTTCTTATGTTGAGAACTTGTCCCTGGATTTTATTTCTAAATTGCCTTCCTACTGGAGACATGTAGATGATATCATTTTGATATGTGACGATCATGAAGATGCGAGTCGTCCATTAGATAGATTTAACTCTGCACAGAATCATGGAAGCCGAACATGCGAGGAAGAATTTTGTAACCAGCTTGCATTTTTAGACATAACTCTGAATCAAAGAGATGATGGTTCAATATGACGATCAATCTTAAGAAAGCCAACTTGAACAGGGCAATACACTAATTTTCATAGTTCCTGTCCATTGGAGTATGAGAGAGGCTTGGCGAAATGTTAATCTAAAAGGATTCAACGTATTTGCACGGCTGATGTTATAGAGATAGAAAATGAAATATTGATGGATACTCTTGTTGAAAACGGAAATGGTAGGAAATATTAAGCAGGTGTAGAAGACAATTAGTATTTAAGACTCGAATCTGTAGCGTCCTTAGGAAAAAGCTTTCATTATATCACCATATAACAGGGTGATAAACAGCAGCATTATGAGACAGAGATTAAATTCGGTCATCAGTGGGGTCTCTCAAGCCTACTCAGTCTCTTGATCCTGATGGTGTTCCTGCTGTTATCCTTTAGAAGTGTGCCGACATCTTGTGTTTCCCGTTAACTGACATTTTCAACGAATCGTTTTCCAAAAGTATTATACCTGAATCATGGAAAAATATCAAGATTGTTCCAGTGCCTAAATCAACAAGTGGACCTAATGTTAAGTTTAGACCCATTGCAATTACCTCACCTTTTTTGAAAGTTATGGAAAGACTTATTTTACTTAATCTTGATCCCTCTTTAAGACCTTTCAACGACCCCAACCAGTTTGCTTATAAACATAGTAGGTGTAAGTTAGATGCCGCTGTTGTCCTCCACCATAGCATAGTCTCTAGTTTAGATAAAGGAGCTAAATACGTTCGCTTTGCCTTCCTTGATTACACATCTGCATTTGACTCTGTTCCCAGGTCTCTCTTGCTAAGTATGCTTGCTGCAACACAGGCTGAGAGCTGGATAAATAAGTGGTTGCATTCCTATTTTTCTGATAGGAAGCAGTACACCGTCTTCAATGGAAAGTCCTCCACTACCTCACTTACTTCAGTTGGTCTTCCTCAAGGTGCTGTTCTTGCTCCCTTTCTGTTTTCGTTTTTCTTACATGACTTGCCTCATTCTGATGTAGCCACTTTTGTTAAGTATGCCGATGACCTCTCGGTTTCTATGCCTGTCAACTCTCAGTCAGATTGTTCCAAATTAAATAACTTTCTGTCGGAAATTAGTCAGTGGTCCTCTTCAAACGGACTTAAGCTTAATCCGTCCAAATGTCAGGTAGTCAATTTCACTTTCAGACGTAAATGTGACCTACAGCAACTAGTTAGCTCACATGGCCCCACTATCATTGACGGCACAGAGGTTGAAAATACATCTAATGTCAAATACCTTGGGCTGAGTTTTTCCACCGATCTTTCCTGGTCTTCCCACATCTTGCTAGTTACTAGAAAGATGTTTCGCTTAACGTTCTACATTAGGAAATTTAGGCAGTCTGGTATAAAGCAATCTTTACTTTCTCAGTTTGTAAATTCTTGTATTCTACCCATCCTCCTTTACTGCTCCCCATTAGTCTTTCCTGGACAACTTAAGAAAGACTTTGCTTTGCTGAGAAGGGCAGGCACTAAAAGCCGTTAGTAGGGCAAGTGGGATATCGTTAAACCAACTGGTGAACACTATTGTAGATAGACATATCATGTCATGTAAGAAACTAGCGAATACAATATTGTCGGACCCCAAGCATCCTCTCTATACGCATCTATCTCCGTGCATTTCATCTGGTAGAACTAGGAGCAGCTACAGGCGGCTTTATGCTAGGACTACCAAATACAAAATCTACACAATACCATATCTGGCACAGCTGTTATGTGATGAGAAATCCGTTAGGTATGACACGATCAACTTACTGCAGCACTCTAACAAATAGTCCCATTAGTTTTTGTTTTCCTTTCCTCGTTACTATTACACTGTTGTTCTCATCTTCTATCACACATCAACTTTATATTTCATATCCTGTGGTGCATTGTTTGAAATGTAATACTCTACGATGTTTGTTTTATTTCTATTTATTTTATTTATTTATAAATTATTCATTTTATTTTTATTTATTTATCTTTGATTTTAAAAATCTTATATAATTTATGAGATAATTAGATGCAATATACTGTAATGCACGCTGAAAATTCCATACCTGTACCACAGATACCGTTTGGAATAAAGATGTTATTATTCCATTCTATTAAGCACCGAGGGTAATAACTATCTCAATATGAAATGCAGTGTGTTTACGAAAATCGACCAGTCCAAACCATGTTCAATCTCGAAATATACTTTTCACTAGCATATCACTATAATATCTGATATCTGATATTGCATCAGTGACCTCAGTTACACAGACGCTTCTCTTGTGTACACAGTTCTCCTGAACAACTAAAACAGTGGAACTCTCTCGGGTCATTGTATTCAAACTACGTCGACCAGTGACACCATTCTCCACACTTGAACATGAAGAGAACAGAGATGAAACCATCAAAATGGAAATTCATCAAAACATCACGTGCACTATACAACACCCAAACGTCAGAGTCATCTGTCGGGAAGGAAACAAGCGGGGTTTTGAAAGGATGATAATAGGAATCACGTGAATCACTCGTTATACGAATGAAATCAAAAAGATACGCGCCATAATTGAAGTGAATGGAAGGATATGGACTGATGATTGTCTAGGTGAATCTGTGGTTCTGATAATCAAAGGTTCTCTCTGACATTTGCCAGCTTGCACAACAGCCATGCCATTGCTGAATCTTGATATTCAATAAAACGGGAATAAATTCCAATGGAGTTTATTTTCAGTATATATTTAAAGACAATAAAGAAGAAAACGGTTGAAAATGGATAGTACGCTGGGCATCACAATATATGACTTCAGACAACTCCTTGCATGTGTATACATGCCTGATGAGGACAATGTCGGTTATTTAAGTAGACATAGCACTAATACACTTGCTTGCAACCTCCAAAGTCTCACTTCAGACTGCGAAGTCTTTTTTCACAAGCTCAGCGAGGAATAGGAAGGGCACCAAACAATAGCAGTTAGAGAAGAGAAAATAAAGGATTTTCTGGAAAGAGAATGCCCCAGCGATCTTATATAGTGATTCATTTGGAAGACTTTTGCAGAATTTAGCAAGTTATAAAACAGTAACCATCTGACATTTAGAAGTGTTCACTAACGCTATCTGAATGATGCCAGTGGTTAACTTCAAACAGGAAATATTCAGTCTTGAGTAGGTGCCCATTCTTTGGCGAGAAATGTGAGTGTTCATATTCACAGAACACTTCCTACGGAAAGCGAACACAGGCAAGAATTTACAAGAGCTAATCAATTCAAAGTACTTGGAATGTATGAAACCTCGTCGTTTCAGCGTTCTCTTGAGAGAAAATGTAATAGGTTAGCCACCAAACTGAACTCAGTCATCCATAAATAAGTCCTGAATTGGACCACTGTCATCACCGAATATTGTTCTGGGCATAACCAGTTATCAGTTATCCGTTTTGTAAGTCTTTGTGTGTACCAGTTTACACACTTCATGAATTATATAGCTTGCACACAATTTACCTCACTCAGAAACGCTTCGTACGAAGAAGTAAACGCCATATATAATATTTCATATGTATGTAGTTGCATTCATAAATAAGTGACATCGGTAGGCATAAATCAACGAACACAGTATTAACGGATTTCAGGGAGAATCCAATGGAAGGCGCAAATTTTGAAACAAACATCCACTGAGTGGTCGACGCTTTGTTAGTATTGCAAATATTCACAAGATATCATTTGACTACTAACAAACAATGGTAGTAGAATGAAGCGCTTCCGAGAGAATTACTACTGCATATGCACTGACTAATCTGACCAGAGTTATCTCGCCAGGAATCGAGTCAACTGCTAAACATCGAATGTTCAGTTATCTCCTCAGCCAGAACAAATTCGCAAAACGCCCAACAGTATTTATGGTTATTGTTTCCAATGATAAGTTTCACAATTCTTTTGATTTTCCTTCAGACTATCTCTGATCTACTCGATGCATTTCAGTGGATAGCTAATTAACACAAACGCTTCTTCTAACTGATTCATTCCATCGTTGAGGTTTCCTGCTCTACCACCCAATGATACCACTTTTGGCTATTGGAAGGTTTGATAGACGCCGAACTATGCCTGCATTATACATAACGGATGATGTGAAAGAAGTCCTAAATATCTATTTGAAGTCGTTGGCATTTTGTAGACGCTAGTGTGCAGTTGACCTCTTCTGTTCGTGTTATCTTACGTGTGAATCCGTGTGATTAGGAGAATTAAGCTTGCAGAGAATTGTGAAGCCAAGTGAATGTGAATGAAGGAGACCGATTGGGATGGATATGTGTTTCCGACACCCTCTGGTCAAATTGGAAGGCAAGCAGTGAATAATAATGTAATAGTAACACTCTGCTACAGTTCGGCGGGCGCAATTCTCATGTGAACAATTAGCAATAAATGAATTCATGTACTTATGGATAACTTCATGTTCTCGGCCTACATACGCCCATGGGCATGATTTACTCATAGAAACCTTCCAGAAATATTTCTCCTTCCTCCTTCACCTAACTCTTGACACATTTCTTCACTTCACTGTCAACCGTAGTAATCAACTACTTTCAAACGGATACCTACTGAAACATTTTTCGTATCTCTACATCAGCCATTCATTTGAAAATAGTCGCTAATCTTTACGGAGCGAATCTCGTGTTGCCTAGTGCACGTGTCAGCCACGTCTCGTAAACCGTTAATACCCAGCTCTTTTTAGGCTCGGGCTCACGCTGCTCCTTGAACTTTCTCAGAACCGCTTATTGATAACGGACCAAAAATCGAAAACACCGATTGGCCACTCGAGAATTCATTATTGTAACACCAACATATAAAAAATGTTTCCACTAAGGTTTGTGAACAAATATTACAATAATAAATCACAATATTACTTGAGACGATTTACTGCTGACTTCTTTCTCAACAGCGACCGATGAGACGATGACTATCGTATTGATGCCTCCGCGAAAATTGGGGAAGTTGGTTTAGAGCAAACAACCATGAATTGATCGTTCAATCGTCAACTGCATTAACAGCACGTTTTGTCATTTATTCGCTCATGTATCCACACTTTGTGTCTTTTGTGAGAATAACTCTTCAGTTGAACACCTTGTCTTCATACATCGCTGCAATCAGGTTGCTCTCAAACACAATTCCCATCCACTGTTATGTATATCCACCTATAGTCTGTGTACCTAGTAACCTGAATCATAGACTAACTCTGGGAAAACAAACTAAGGCCATTGGAAACTCGAAGTCATTTCTCCGTTGAATGCAAGAAGAATGCCATATTAATGGACGCATTACACAGACTGGTGAAGTGCTGACTATCAATCGAATGACACGTCATCTCCCAGTGAAAGCCACGGAATGCAAGAGGATGAGAAATACTAGCTGCATGCTTCAGATGATAGAAGCTACTGAGATATGCTGAGAATCGGTGGAGCGAATTCGAGTAGTGCCAGGAATGAGTGATGGTGGATAGTCAACCAGGATACAACGACGCGCATATTGGGAATGCGGTCGTCATGTTGTCGCAAATGGTATCACCAGGAATATAGTATATTTCATGAAAATCAAATCGCCTACAATCGGACATATTCATCATTGGAACAACCATCGGCGAATAGACAGGAGAATAGACAGGAGACATGCATAGCTCTTTTCAAACACACCTTTTAGTCGGTCAGTGTGATGCTGACGTTAAAAAGGCATCTAAAACTTCTATTGCTTTCCTACTAATATTATTATTGCTTCCACTTGATCAATTCTTTCTACCCGTCAATATCTGATATGATATTCTTCAATTATTATTACATGTCTCACTTCATCTCATCAGTCACGGTAACTGATCGTCCTCATGTTCTGTATCTCTGCTACGCTCACACAACGATTCTTTTCGCAGCACAGATTTCTGATGAAAACAAAAGCGATTTGAAGTCCATTAATAACCCATTTTATTAGATATCAAATGTTGTACGCAGTGGTTGTCGCCAACCGACTAAGTACATCAGATTTCCAAAGTTAAAGTTAATCCACAAAAAATCGGTGTTATCAGACAGACCCACCAAAATCTCCACACAAATCCTCGTTTATCCACAGCCAGGGGATACTCGAGACCAGAATGCTTGCCATCACCTGAAAGTGAATATAGAAAACACACGATCAACATCATATCTCAATCTGATTCACATTTCTACAAGTAAAGGTCTCGTCTGGTTGAAGAGTGAAACGCTTCGTCATTATGGAATGCTGCCATCGTTCAACGACAGTGACAGAGCCATTGAGATTAGACCACAAGTATTTCATCACTCGACAGCATCCGACTTCCAACTAGTAAATACGCCATGTCAGTACACCATTGTGCAAACAAATCAGCCAGCCAGTGCACACGTACCACAAAATCGGTGCATCCAGATCATATATGTTGTCATCGAAGTGAGAAATATGAAGACCTTTGCATGTATATGCCTGAGGAAGACACACGATGGGTGGAGACAGCCAACATCATAAATTCAAACAATAGCTGGTGTGCATAAACAAACTGGGTTATTTCACATGCACAGATAACTGAGAGAATGAAGAGCATATCTCACCTTGAAGGGATGAATGGTGGAGCAGGTCGACTGTGGTTGAATGATTCCCTTTAATACGCGCACTCTCAACAGCTGAAATCACTAGAACTGCAAGAAGCAAGTGCCAAATCTGAAAAGAAAGAAACGTGAACATCACCAACAAATGTCACACACTGACTCACCATTCTCACTGAATGCCACTGATACTCGTTGATGACGATGATAAGAATCCAGGAATACAGAGACGTATTTATACTATGCAAGAAGACGGTGATGTGAACACATGTGGCTGTCGTTCACTGATTGTGTACCAATAGAAATATTCCGATGTACACTGTTGATGTGTCTGAATGAGTGGATGACAAATTGAGTGGGTGGTGGGTGGATGTTCGATTAACGAGCATCTAATTCAGTGAGTGGTTGTGACGGTGATTTTCGATGTTGAATGTATGTAGTGGTGGGGTGAGATGATTGAGAGGGGCTTTCGATTTTTCATTATGTGTCTTATGCAATTTGAATGGTTTGTCTGAACAAAGTGTCTCACTTATCTAGCAGTGTTTCTGTGAGTGTCGTATTTCACATTTCGTACATTCACTCATTCTTCTGTTCACCGTCTAATCATTTTATTTGCTTCATTATCTTAGGATTGGTGATTATGTTGTTTGGTGCTGGTCTGACTGGATCTCTTCACAGTCCTCTGAATTCATTGATGGCCTCACTCATCACTTCCTCACATCCACACACACTTCTAGACAAACAACACAGAGAGGTAATCACTATTATTCCGTTCATCCACTAAGCTAACCCATTGTTAGCCAGACCAATATCTACCCAAAACAGGTAACAATGACTTCACTCCTATTCTGATAACAAAATACCGAATACTCATATCGATTAAATCCTTCACAAAACTTTGGCCCTCATGGCTGCATCGAGAAGTAGTTTCAACAGAATCGGTTCACGAAAACACCTGGGATCATATGCGTATAGCACACATGAGATCACGTCAATTCATGGCAGGCACGGAAAACCGTCTAAAGTTTGGACGAGGTATATTTGTCAGAAGATAGCTGACACAGGGTGGGCATTCAACGCCGATACTTATATATAAAATTCAATGCTTTTCTCGCTGAAATACACAGATATCTTATTTGACGACTAGAATCTGATGAATGACATTGTCGTGTGACTCGCAGGATCACAACACTAAGTGTTTCTCATTCGATTATTTAGGAGTGACTAATTCGATTCAATATAGATCACGGAATTTCATGGGTTTGCACATGATTGATTGGCGACAAGTACGCGAGTCTGATGAGTACTAGTTGGAAACAGCGCCAAATACAGTCAGTGGATCAGAAGAGAATTACTTTTCTTCGCTACTGCAGTTAACTTCAGTCCCTTCAAAATGTATGACGTCTGACACTTAGAACACATTTTCCATGCTCGAATCGCGTGAAGTTGAGGATTATTTGTGTTGTGGGAACAGCCATTACGAAGTAGAACTAGCAAATCTGACTGACAAAGATTTGACTCAGTTCACAATGAAACAAAACCGCTGAGTACAGTGTAGGAGATTTCCAGAAATATTCAAAGAATACTGATTCCGTCATTTAACAAGATCACTCACCAAGACACCATGACACGAAAATAAACTCAATATGCTAGATCACAGTTCCCACCTGTATAACTTGAATCAAACATTGACATGTACACTTTATTTCCCTGAGACGAGTCAGCTGAAGTTTACGGTAATCTTGTGTGAGCTTGTCACACATCTGACAAATAAGTCCAAAGTGATATCAGTGGAGGTGAGCAAATATGGGTTTCCCATATTGTACATTGATTTCTGCTTGACTGCGAAATTAGTAATGGTCAAAATGTTCATGAAGACTGCGTAATATCTGATGGGCATTTCCATCACAATAGGTTCTCAATGTATCCTTTCTCTTGTGATTGGCTGCCATGACTGAGATATGCTGAAGAAAGCATTCGGTGTGTGACTTGTCGACCCGTCAAACAAGGCACACTTACCACTACTTGCTTAAGCACATTGTACGAATAGTTATCGTTTGTCTGTCATACAATCGGTCGGCACCTATTCATTCTTCACCGACGCACCCATCTTTATGAAGGTGGAATCCTCGGAAATCTGTCGATATTTTTCGCTTCACACACGTTATCACAACATGCCTTGCTTAGTCGATTGTGTCTCTCTACAGTCGACATTACTTCATCAGCCTTAATTTCAATTTCAAATGAATTTATCCGTTATTATCCAGTATATGAATAAAAAATATCCAATATCGTTTATTATTTATGGCCAGTGTGTATTTCGATTTGAAAGTAGTACAAGCTATTCAGTTATTGATCTAATGAATTCAGGCTTACATTGTGAAGTAGCGAGATCTGAGAACAAAGATAAAACCCTCACTAATTGAACAATAAGGACGGAAATATGTGTCGACTAATTAATGGACCTCTACCGACAATGAAACATGAAAGCTGTGTGCACTCTTTGGTATGTGAACAAAGAGAATGGCCTCAGTGTGTCTCGTCAGATAATGCGACGTGGTCATTGAGACGCGTGCCACTCAGTGAGACTTTGTTCACCCGTTCACAAACAAATTTTGAATTAACTTCAATCAATTCAGTCAGTTTCACTGGGACTCGACTTTCCCTCTCATCTCGTATTCGTTGTGGTGCTGCACAATTTGGAAGCACGAAGTCTGTGTGGAGTCTGATAATACCTTGAGAGTAATGATGGTCGTAATGAATGGCCAGGTGAGGAGACACCAGTCTCGTTGACTATCTATGATCATATCAATTGGTATAAGCACGATAGTATATGTCGTAGATATTGAGCGGGTACTCCTCTAATTTTCTGGTATCCACAACATATTTCTTCAAAGCGTCTTTCTTCAAACAGGTGAGGATTGAATAGGTGGACGAGTTCCACGCACTGAACACATCCCCTCACATACCAAGTCACCTGAGTGATCCATACTACTACATGAGTGTCCCGTCAATGTTTTAGATTTTAAGCAGTCTGCTTATTTATGGATGACTGAGTTCAGTTTGCTGGCTAACCTATTACATTTTCTCTCAAGAGAACGCTGAAACAACGAGGTTTCATACATTCCAAGTACTTTGAATTGATTAGCTCTTGTAAATTCTTGCCTGTGTTCGCTTTCCGTAGGAAGTGTTCTGTGAATATGAACACTCACATTTCTCGCCAAAGAATGGGCACCTACTCAAGACTGAATATTTCCTGTTTGAAGTTAACCACTGGCATCATTCAGATAGCGTTAGTGAACACTTCTAAATGTCAGATGGTTACTGTTTTATAACTTGCTAAATTCTGCAAAAGTCTTCCAAATGAATCACTATATAAGATCGCTGGGGCATTCTCTTTCCAGAAAATCCTTTATTTTCTCTTCTCTAACTGCTATTGTTTGGTGCCCTTCCTATTCCTCGCTGAGCTTGTGAAAAAAGACTTCGCAGTCTGAAGTGAGACTTTGGAGGTTGCAAGCAAGTGTATTAGTGCTATGTCTACTTAAATAACCGACATTGTCCTCATCAGGCATGTATACACATGCAAGGAGTTGTCTGAAGTCATATATTGTGATGCCCAGCGTACTATCCATTTTCAACCGTTTTCTTCTTTATTGTCTTTAAATATATACTGAAAATAAACTCCATTGGAATTTATTCCCGTTTTATTGAATATCAAGATTCAGCAATGGCATGGCTGTTGTGCAAGCTGGCAAATGTCAGAGAGAACCTTTGATTATCAGAACCACAGATTCACCTAGACAATCATCAGTCCATATCCTTCCATTCACTTCAATTATGGCGCGTATCTTTTTGATTTCATTCGTATAACGAGTGATTCACGTGATTCCTATTATCATCCTTTCAAAACCCCGCTTGTTTCCTTCCCGACAGATGACTCTGACGTTTGCGTGTTGTATAGTGCACGTGATGTTTTGATGAATTTCCATTTTGATGGTTTCATCTCTGTTCTCTTCATGTTCAAGTGTGGAGAATGGTGTCACTGGTCGACGTAGTTTGAATACAATGACCCGAGAGAGTTCCACTGTTTTAGTTGTTCAGGAGAACTGTGTACACAAGAGAAGCGTCTGTGTAACTGAGGTCACTGATGCAATATCAGGTATCAGATTTTATGATGAGATGCTAGTGAAAAGTATATTTCGAGATTGAACATGGTTGTGACTGGTCGATTTTCCAAAACAAACCGCATTAGGACATCCGATGTGAGTCCGCTTTGACTGAATTCTTAATACCAGATTCGATTGGCCAACAAGGGCATTTTCCAGACTCCAGTGTACTGGAGATAATGCCACAATGATCGCCTGAGTTGAAGTAAGTCTCACGCAGCTCGAACTATATGTAGCAAATGAAGACATGCATGGAACGAGAAAGGATTACAGTTCTCTGATAAAATACAGGGAACGCCCACAACAGTCAGGCACGCTCACATTTTCTCTGCATATGAAATGTGCCCGTCGCCTTCAGTGTGAAGACACTATTTATCGCTCACGTGATCTGACGTGGAATTGGCAATAATTGTCGGCCGAAATTGTGCGATGAATGTGCTGTGTCACGCTTTTATTTCAAAGTCAATAATAAATATGTTTATCGAAGTCTGTGTTCTCATTCCACTCATATTAGACTAACAGCAGTTCTCTGTGTTATCCAAATCAGATTCATCTTGTTCAGCTACGCGGTTAAAATGTAGAAGCACTACTGCTGGAAGCACGAAATTTCATGTTTTCTCGGACATACAGATTCCACTGTAATGTAACATTTGTGAGCCCCTGGCCTGCACTATATCTCATCGTGACTTCATGAGATTCAGTGTTTGTTTTCCCACAGCATATGCATTTCAAAGACTCCGATCACATAAGCATTTGAATTCAAATAGCGGACAAGTATCAGAAAATGGTTACATCATTCGGACAATTTTTCTAGTTGTGTACTGAAGGCTATTGATGTTAATACCAGCTTTTACACGAAAGTTCGCTAACACATGTCTCATGAACTTTCAGCATATTCAAATCGCAGAGAAATCTACTCTTCATTTAGGATCTTCAAGTGACAGTGCATTTGGCAGTACATCCTATGGAATATCCGAATCTCAGTGAAATTTCCCATTCACTTTTGTTGGGAAGTGCCCTTCATTTCATCAA